CTTTCTCTTTCTTGTTAGCATATCTGCTCTACCAGTGGTGTTTGTTCTTTCTTGTATATTCATGACGGTGATTATTGTTTTTTGGGTTCCAGGTACAGGATTACCTTAAGGATTTTTGGTAGAGCTGGTCATGTGCTGGTGAATTCTGAACTCCGACAGCTTTTGTTTGTCTGGGAAATACATGATTTCCTCTTCATTTCTGAAGGATAGCCTTGCCAGTTATAGTATTATTAGCTGGCAGTTTTTTTATTTTAGTACTTTGAATACATCCTCCCATTCTCTTCCGGCCTATAGGGTTTCTGCTGAGAAGTCTGCTATTAGTCTGATGGGATGCCTTACGGGTGACTTGATGCTTTTCTCTTGCTATTTTTAGGATTTTCTTTTTGTCTTTGACTTTTGACAGTTTGGCTACAATGTATCTTAGAGAGGATCTTTTTGTATTGAATCTGTTTGGGGATTTTTGAGCCTCTGGAATATGGAAGTCTGTATCTTCACCAATACCTGGAATTTTTCTGCAATCATTTTGTTGAATATGTTTTCAGAGCCTTTTCCTTTTTCTTTCCCTTCTGGAACACCCATGATTCGGATGTTTGTGCACATAAGGTGGTCTGCTAGCTTGCTTGGATTTTCTTCATTTTTAAAAAATTCTTCCACCTTCCCATTTTTCGTCTGCTTCAGCTATTTCAAAATGACTTCTTCTCAATCAGAAATTCTTTCTTCCACATGCTCCAGCTTGCTGCTTACACTCTCAATCATAGCTTTTTTGTTGTTGTTGAATGAGTCTTTCAGTTCCAGGAGCTCTGCTACATTCTTTTTTGCAGACACATGAAAAAATGCTAAACATCACTCAGCATCAGGGAAATGCAAATCAAAACCACATTAAGGCATCATCTCACCTCAGTTAGACTATTATCAAGAAGACAGAGAAAAACAAATGCTGACGAGGATGTGGAGAAAGGGGAACTTTCCTACACTGCTGGTGGGACTGTAAATTAGTGCAGCCATTATGGAAAATAGGATGGAGGTTCCTCTAACGACAATAGATAGATCTGTCATATGATCCAGTCATCCCACTACTGCGTATATACCCAAGGGAATGAAAATCATCATGTTAAACGGATACCTGCACTCCTATGTTTATCACAACTCTATTTACAATAGCCAAGATATGGAACCAACCTAAATGCCCACTGACAGATCACTGGATAAGGAAAATGTGGTGTACATACTCAATGAAATACTACTTGGCAATAAAAAAGAGTGAAATTCTCCCATTTGCAGCAACATGGATGAACTTAGAGAAAATTATGTCAAGTAAAATAAGCCAGGCACAGAGAGAGAAATACCACATGCCCTTACTAATTAGGTGGGAGCTAAAAAGCAAACCAAAAACAAATAATAAAAAAGAAAGAAAAATACAACAATCACAATAATACATTGAACTTTCAAAAGGTGAGAACAGAAGTGAGGTTAGCAGAGGTGGGAAAGGTGGAGAGGGAGCGGAGGTTAGTGAGAAATTGGTAAAGGACCACAAAAAATGATTACATTGTGTAATGTTGAATATACTAACTATCCTGATTTTAAAATCACATACTGCACACAGGTATTGATATTTAACATGGTACCTCACTGATATGTACAATCGGTTATGTTTCCATGAGATAAATTAAAAATTGAAAAACAACAAAAAAATAAAAAATGTAGGAAACTGGCTTAAATTGGTGACCTCTTGAAGTCCCTGTCACCTCAAAGATCCTGACAGTAGAACAGGAAACTGACATCTTTGAGTATCTACAGAGTGCTAAGCAATGTAGTACAAACTTTTCATATTCTTTTGTCCCCCTCTATTTTATCCTCAGAAGACCCTATGAAGAAGGTCATATTAATCTCATTTTACACATTACAAATCTGGAATTTGTCCAAGGTTGCACATATTACCAGGGCCTGTACTGAAATTCATGTCTGGCAGACAACAAAGCTTAGGATTTTCCCACTACACCACAAGGCCTCTCAGCAAGAAGTTGTCCTTTTTCCAAATTTTTACAATCCAATGATGACAAATTATCCAGCAAATTTATTTTAAGCCTAGATGAAAAGGTAGATCATAAAATTCTGTGGGAATGTGATCTGTTTCACAATTTCCCCCATGGAATCATTTGCATTTTTAAAAAGCTCTCCAGGTAATTCTGGTGCTCCTCTCCCCACCGCCTTCCCATGCTCTTCTCCTTCCGGTTCATTGGTTCATTGTTCAGCTCCCACTCATGCGGTGTCAACTTTGGTGTCACCATTTCCATATCTTCCCTGGTCACTGAAGTGGCCCTCTTCAGTCCTCCTTGTGCATTATTCCATCACTGAGCTCATCACATTGTTTAACACTTACTTATTCCCAGGAATCTCGTCCTCTTTAGACTGTGGTGAGTTTTTCTTGAAAGCAAGAATTGCATTTTTGTGTCTTCAGTATCTAGCCCAATGCCTCACACACAAAATGTTTCAGAGAACTAAATCAGTAAACATAAAGTTCAGAACCACTTGTAAATAGGTTAAGAAGTCCTCAAATTTCTATTATTGTTTGTTGCACCCATGAATTAACTGCCTAATTCAATAAAAATTAATCCCCAAAACAAAATTTTATAGGTTCCAAGTGTAAGCCATCGTCCTGGGATGCGGAAGCTCCACGGAGAACTACATTTCCCGTAATTCATGAGCTCCAGTCGGAGTTGGTTTGCTGACCGTTCTTGAAGGCACGTCCCATCAACCAATACTGTGACGAGAGCTTTTCCGACCGGGGCAGAATTTGACCAATCACAAAGAACAGGGCGGTGCTTCTGATTTCTGTTCGGAACTGAAAAACCTCGGTTGCGCTTCAGTGGCTTTTCGCGGTACCGTACAGGGCGGGAGTCGTTAATCCGGAGATTATTCTCCCAACCCCCAATCCCCCAAATTAGAATTACTCTTTGTGCACTTCCCTCCTCCTATACGTTTTCCCCGTTTTCCACACTCCTCCTCTTCCCACCCACCCTTCCATGTTGAACGCACTCTCCGGAAGGATCCCCCAGCCCGAATCTCTACCTTTTCAAACTTGAGCCAGACGTTTATCTCTAATCACACAAGCCAAATAATGCCAGAGAAGCAACGGAAAGGTCTGAGCAAAGACTTCATTTGACCCTCCTTTCCCTTTTCAACACTGGAGAAGCGACCGGGGATTACTGTGTGATAATCACCATTACGAGGCGGATTTCAGGTTCTGAAAATGAGTGGCAGCGCGGTGTTGACGGTCACCCGAGCTCCCGCCCCTCGTCCCCACCCATCCTGGCTTGCCGACTGAACTCAGGGTGGTGTGTCACTGTTCAGGGCAGACACCCAGCCCTGGAGCGGTTCTTCTTTGGCAGCCTGTCCCACACTAGCAGCTACCTGTCACGGCCAGACATTCCACCAACAGTGACAGCTGCAGGAAAGAATCCGGTTTCCCCCTCTAGGTTGCTCTCCTTTTCTACTACCTTTCTAAATTTGTTGTCCTCTTGCCAGTGACATAATCGTTGCTTAGACGCTCTTTTTCAAAACCTAAGTTCAAGTCAATGCAAACAAAGCCCATCAACAAAGCAACAACGATAATATTGTAGGCAGCGGCCGAGAGCGTGTATCTTAGGAAAGGGTGGAAGCTTCAACCCGCGCTGTAATGACCGACTGTGAAATAAAGGTTTTCCGCGGCTTGGTAGTCGTCAACATTTTTACTATGCCAGCTGCAGGGGAAGCAGCTGCATGCTCTGACACCGCGATCGAGGCGGGAGAGATTCAGCCGGCGTCTGGGACTTTTCGCAGAGGATCATCTCAGCCCCAGCTTCGCTCCGGCTGGGGGGCTGGGGCGCTGGGGCGGCTGCGGCGCGCGTGCGCATGCCCAGCAGCCCGGCTCGGCGGAGGCCCAGCTGCCGCCACCACCGCGGCTGGCGCTGTAATCGCGGCTGCCGCCGCTG